TCTGGAATTTGATTTTCCAGCCTTCCTGAGTCATTCTCTAACTTTAACCTCCTAATTCTAATTTCGGTACTAATAGCATTCACACCAAAGATGATTAGATTTTAAACCGTATTTTTTTCTCAAATGTTTACCTTTTTGATTTCTGCATTCGTTATCACATGATCTCTGACACATGGAAATGCCACGCTTCCTGTTCACAGACAAGCCAGCTAATGTCTTGCTTAGGGCTGTGACAGCATGTCAAGGTGAGAGTGATGTTTCAATCATTACGTCTCACCAAGAGAAAAGAGCAGGGGTGGAAAGAAGCCTGCTTTCATCCTCTATCAAAATAATGCACTGGAAGAATTTTGAAAAGATAAGTGTTTTCTGACATCAAATGTGTGATGTCTTTTCCAGCACCAACAACTAATTTTCCAGCAGCAACAGGGGGTCCACCAATTAGATTCATTTCTCACACTGTCTACCTGGAGTTCAAATCAGAACCAAAGGTTAAAGAGCTCAGCCTTACTTCAGATACCAGCTGCAAATGGGGTACTCAGGCTACCCCTGTCTACCCAGGTGACTGAAAATTCGAGGGTTCCCATACCCTTCTTCCCCAGGTTCAGTAACTTTCTAAGATGGCTCACAGAGCTCCGGAAAATACTTTCCTTATTTAATAAAATTTTAAATAATATATAAACTTGTTTATTTATAAATATAAATTAAAAATATATTTATCAAATAAATATTTAATATCTACTTATATAAAATACCCTGGAGAAAAGATTACATGGATTCAGATTTTCAGAACAAAAATTCAGCGTCATGAAACAACTTGGGAGGAGAAAAACCCGTGGCTGATGTTTATTGGTTTATTCTAAAAGATACAGCTCAGGAACCACCAAGTGGAAGGATGCTGAGGGCAGGGCATGGCGGCAGGAAGGGCACTCAGAGTGTCGTATCTTCTCCCCAGCAGACACCCTCCTGGCACCTGGATGTGCCCTCCAAGAGTGTTTATAACCCTGCCTCCAGCCCCTTTCTCCCCCCTCCCCAGAGCTGTGTGTGCAGAGGGAGGAAAGCTCCTTCCTGCAGTCACTCGGTGACCCACCACCATGACAACTGTCTAGGTGCCCAACCCTAAGTCACCTCTACATTGTAAACTCAGGCCTCAGGCACGGTCAGAAGGGGCTATTTATGGATCACAAAAGACACTTCTCTTACTCAGGAAATTCCAAGGGCTTTAGAAGCTCGGTGCCAGGAAAACCAAATCTGTTTTCTTATTATACCATAATGTATTTTTTTAAATAAAAGTTAACTTTCCTTTTCCTCCCTCCCTTCCTCTCTCTCATCCCTTTCCCCTCCTCCACCCTCCCTCAAAGCTTCCATGCTGCTAGCATCCACACATATTTAGATTCCTGTGGGCTCTAAGCAGCGCCAATGGGACCCAGGTGCCTGAGCCATGGAAGAATTGGGATTCCCTCGGTGCCTTTTAGATCAATGGCTTCTTCCACCCTTGGGTGTCCCCTCACGACCCTGCACACTCTTCTTTTGAAGATTTAATGAGAAGGAATCACACAGAAAAAGGGAGAGAAGGGAGAGCACACACTCCTCTAAATGTGATGGTCTAGGAGTCCGAGTTCATGGATGCTTCTTTTCAGATCCCCACTGGAAAACATGCTAGGTGCTGTTCACAAAGACTTTGCCTGATGCCTCTTCCCGAGGGACCTAGGAAGCAAGCGCTTTGAGAGAACAACCTTTTTCTAGAAGGTTGTTGTTTATAGGGTCTTATTCCATATCCATTCTTAGGAAACCTTCATGGGAGCCTGAGGGGGTCACCCTGGGCTCAGTAGTGTGGACCTGGGCTCCAGAGCATGCAGCTTTGAGGTTCCTGCACCATGTGGGCACTCACTTTTCCCCACCTTCAGCTGCAGCTACATTATGACTGTTATTACAGCTCCCAGGTCCCACAGGATTTTGTAAAATGGGGAAATCCCTCTCTCTCTTTCTTTAAGCCATCATTCACCACTTGCCTACCAGGGCCATTTGACTTTAATCTGCGGCTGCACACATGGTCTCATCTCATCCTATGAGGCAAGGTACATACAAGGAACCTGCAGTTCAGAGACAGTGATTTGCCTGAACAAACTCCCACCACTAGTCTCTGTCAGAGCCTTCGTGCAAACCCAGGTCTGTCTGATTCGGATGCTTTCTGCAGCTCCCCCCACCCTTTCTGCCACAGCTGTTACTGGAAAAGGGTCCCAACCCAGACCCCAAGAGAGGGTTCTAGGATCTCCAGAAAGAATTCAGGGAAAGTCTGTAAAGTGAAAGCAAGTTTATTAAGAAGGTAGAGGAATAAAAGAATGGCTACTCCATAGACAGAGCAGCCCCAAGGGCTGCTGGTTGCCCATTTTTATGGTTATTTCTTGATGATATGCTAAACAAGGGATAGGTTATTCACACCTCCCCTTTTTAGACCATATAGAGTAACGTCCTGATGTTGCCATGGCATTTCTAGACTGTCATGGCACTGCTGGGAGTGTGGCCCGGAGGATGACCAGAGGTCACTCTTGTGGCCGTCTCAGTTTTGGTGGGATTCGGCCAGCTTCTTTACTGCAACCTGTTTTATCAGCAAGGTCTTCATGACCTGTACCTTGTGCCGACCTCCTGTCTCATCCCCTGTCTTAGAATGCGTAACCATCTGGGAACACAGCCCAGTAGGAGGTTTCAGCCCTGTTTTACCCAGCTCCTATTTAAGATGGAGTTGCCCTGGTTCAAACGCCTCTGACACAATGGTCAGCTTGGTTTGGAGCAAGGGAAAATAGCAGATGGGCAGCAGCATCAGGGAGACTGAGCCAGAAATACCAGCTCTGGAAAAGCCCAAAGATCAGTTTGCTTAAAGTCAAATAACACAGTTAAGTCCTGACCCAGTGACTAAAACCTTCCAGCTTTCGGAACCCCAGCTTCCTCTTGTAAATGGAAGCAGTCATCACACTGACCCCCCCTGGACTATGGTGAGTCTGGACATATACAGGGCACTGGACTAGCATAAAGGCTATGATCTGGCCGGGAAGGGATGAGTTCGTGTTACACACAGTGGGGTGTGTGGGTGTGGGGAGGCAGCCTGCAGCTCTGGCTGTGTCTTGGAAGAGGTCTGGGTTTGACCAACCAAGCACTCCCAATTTCCATTCCTATTTCCTGTCTCCCCTCCATCTCCGGCCATTATTCAGCAGGCAGGGGAGAGGGGAGAAGTGCCTTAGATTATCATGCCCACTTTCCAGGGAAGTTATGGAACCTTGTGGCCCTGACCCATGTGGTAATAATGGTGAAGGTGACCGGCTCTGTGATAATTAGTGACCAAGCCAGAGAGACATCCCAGGGTGAGAGGCAAGAGTGTGGCACAGAAAGCACAGGTGTTGGCTGTGGAAGGGCCTTGTGCCCAGGGCAAGGGAGGGAAATGAAGGGAATCACAGGGCAGAGGTGCCAAGTTGGAGCAAGCTGCAGGAAGTGTGGCTTGGTTGGCACCCAGGCATTCCTGAAAGACAACTAGGACAGGACCCACCCTTTCTGGGTATGCCCCCCTGCCCCCTCCCCAACTACGTCCATCTCATTAGAGACCCCAGCAGGCACCTGTCAATCCTGAATGCCCTGGAGGATACTATAGCACATCACCCATGAACACATCCTCATTCCTGGAGGTCCCTGGCTGCAAAATGATGTCACTCACTTGGATAGTTCCTCGCCTCTGATGTCAGATTAGATCCTTCTAGACCTGGGACTATCTCTGTGGGTGCTGCCTGCCCTCCGCAGAGGATGGTTGGTCTGGGACATGTCTTTTGACTCCCTTGTTGGCAGTATCAATAGCTGTAGGCCCACAGCCCCTCATCTGCAATTCCCAAATCTCAGCAGCTCTGACATTTTTTCCCCCTCCTTTGATGTTGTTTTTGTAGCCTTGCATCAAACTCTTTTGGTCTAAAGTCAAATTGAAATCTATGTGCAGTTGAGGCATTTATTTCTCTCACTTAGTGGAAATAGGCATGTTTGGTCGCAGAAATCGCCACGTGTTTGATTGTGAGGAGCCACTCTGGTCCCAGGTTGGGGTGGTGCATCACATACTTTTCTGAATCTTGGAAAGCGTGAACTCCAGAGCATGGGCGGTACCAGGGGGACAGAATACAGGATAATGGTGCAATTATAGAAGCTTCTGAGTTCAAACTTGTCAGCCCTGAGCCTTCCGTGGGGTGTTGCTGGTTATGTGGCAGCTGCAGATAGGATCCCACCAGAGCATCCTCTGTGGGGCTTGTGGGCTCTAGGAAGGGCTGTTTAGCATCTGGTCCTGGGAGGGAGGACCCCAGCCATGGTTTTTCCCCTGGCAAAAGTCACTCAATAGCCTTAATTAAGGCCTGGCCCTGAGCTTGTGTGAGTGCTTCCTGAGTCCTCACCTGCCTCCTTTCATCCCGACTCTGTGTTTTACCATCAGGGCTCAGGGTTTGCACTGTCGGATTTCAGAAGCACTATCCCTGTGACAAAATAAGAATTCAAATATGAAAACATTCCGTTAGAAGTTCTGAGAGGTTCCCATGCATCTACACAGTATTGTTTTATGGAAATATTCCACATTCCTCCAGCCACCTTCTTATTCCAATGGAAATAAGTGAATTTCCTTTTTCAAAGTAGTCTCACAGTGAAAACTTTGAAAGCAAAACAGTTATTCATTTGGCTAGAAGTAACCCATCCACTGCAGGAGGAGGCTCGGGGACATGCAGAGAGTCGGAATTCACTTTATTCCTTCCATCTGAATGTGTTCATGGTGACAGCAGGGCCTTAAATGTGATTTTTATGCTCTTCATAGTCATTTTGGAAAGGATTATTGAATTCCCATTTTCATCATATTTTATAAATAGCAATTTGGTTATAATAAATATCTGGAATTCTCTTTGACTTTGCCCTTATCTAATAATCGCATATAAGAAATATAAGTAGGCAAGTAAGTGAAGCGCTGCTAATGTCATTGTGTGTGTCAGTCTTGGACAGATCACTATTTACAGTGGAATGTGTCAGAATATCCAGGAGTGAAGACTGTACGTTTCCCAGATGGCCAGATTTGGAAACCAGACATTCTGCTCTATAACAGGTAAGCCTATTGAGCAAAGGAAAAAATGATTTTATGCTTGCATGCATGTGGCTATCAAGTATATTTGAATGTTCCACAGAAATGCTGGATATATTATCTACGATTTGGGGCCACTGCTCCCCACATGGCTTTCCGAGTGGCCAGGCCTTTGAGAAGCAGCTCTGTCTGCCTCTGCCAGCATTCCCCGGTTTGGCACGAACACGTGCACACACTGGCTAGCATGCTGCCTTAGATGTCAACGAACTTGTGTGTTCTGGGGGCCTAGCATTGTTCCTATGCGTATTGGCACGTGGAGTATTCTTGCCTAAGGCAGTGCCTTTGTTCTCTGAATGGCAGTAGTTATGACCAGCAGTGGAAAGTGCTGGCCTATGGGGTGCACTGCTGGAGCCCACAGTTTGGGCCTGCATCCTCATCTGATATGTTCCCCCTTGTGCATTGGAGAGTTCTGTGGCAGAGACAGCTGCAGGTGAGCGTGAGGACCGTCATCTCTAGCTGCATTCAGAAACTTCCCCTGCAGGGTGTATACCTGTGTTCTAATAGTCTTTCTCCTGAGGTCAGGAAAGAAGGGACACATCGGTAAACAAAGGCAGTCTGACTTGCAGACCAGATGCCTAAAAGGCAATTATCTCGGCAGGGTAAGTTTCTAGAAGCAGTAAAATTTTTTGTTAAAGCACATAGTCAAATAAGGGACCCCAGAACATTTCTTACTAATAAGGTCTCAGATCTCATAAACAGCATCAGAAAAAGAAAGTTATTTCCTAATGATGACTGCTATCTTTCATCCCAGCTGAATGGAGCAGGAAGCCCAGGCTTTCCTGATGCAGGGAATGGTGTGACCAAATTGCCCTTGATGGTCACTCAGTGATCCTGCTGGACAAGCAATGTGTTGTCCTACATGGCTACTTCCAGAAGGCTGGGTGATGGCATTTCTTGTATTGACTTTTCATTCTGTCTCTGTCTTTGCTGCTGGGGCCACATTTCACTTTAATCATTGGGGCTGTCTCTGAAAGAGTATCCTCTTCTGATTTGCTGCCACTTTTTTGCTTCTTAAATTGGTTCGGACAACTGAGCTTTGAAAAACGTCTAAAATAGGAATAAGTGGTCCCCTGTTGAGTGGATCAAACACATGCCTTTCCATGCCTGGACTTGGGGTCTTCTATTTCTTGGAGGCTGTATTAGTTTGCCAAGGCTGCTGGAACAAAGTGCTACAGCCTCGGAGGCTCAAACAATAGAAGCTGCCCTGTCACAATTCTGGAGGCCTGAAGTCTGAATCAAGGTGTTGGCAGGGCTGGCTTCTTCTGATCCTCTCTCCTTGGCTGACAGGTGGCTGCCATCTCACTGAGTTCACATGACTTTCTCTTGTCCTTGTCTGTGTCTTAATCCCCTCTTCCCATAAGCATTCCACTCAAATTAGAGTAGGGCCCCACGCTCATGGCCCCCTTTTACTTTAATTACCTTTTCAAAGGTTCTATCTTCAAACAAAGTCACACTCTAAGGCACCAGGTTTAGGATTTTAACCTGTGAGTGTGAGGGGGATGCAACTCAGTGCATAATGAGGGCATTGTGTCTGACTTCTGAGGGCACAGGGTCAGGGTTGAGGAAGTCCGAGTGTTAATTTTAGCTGTAATATTTACAGTCTGTATAACCTTTGAGTCTCGGATTTCTCCTTTGAAAAATGGGGGAAGTGGCAGCTTCAGAGAGTTTGGAGGATCACTCTGTGGATGTGTGGAGCACACTTAGGTTGGTACTCGGAAAAGAGCACACATTCCATAAAGGCAGTTGTGTGTTTACAGGCAGAATGATGAGGATTTATGCTTTTAGAACTAGATGGTAATTTAGCAATTTAGAAAAAAAAATAATTAATGTTTTTCATTTCCCAATTCAGATTTTTTTAAATTTTGAAATCAAGAATAAATTTTGTAACATTCAGCCTGGGCAATGTAGTGAGACCCCATCTCTAACAATAGCAACAACAAATTAGCTGGGCATGGTGACCTGCACCTGCAGTGCCAGCTACTCAGGAGGCTGAGGCAGAAGGGCCCCTTGAGCCCAGCAGTGAGCTTTGATTGCATCATTGTATGCCAGCCTAGGTGACAAAATGAGATGCTATCTCTCTCTCTATATATAGCCCCACCATATTATATGTATAATATGGCGTTGGAATCTTATTAATGAGGCTATATGAGGCAGTTTATATGGCTTATATGTAGGATCTTTAACTCCAAAATGTACAATGTTTGATGATTCCACATGCTCTGGCTAATGAGGAATTTCCAAGTTGTAATTGAATTTCAAGGATCAAAGATATTGCAGTCTCTGCCTGATGAATGTTACCAGGGTCTAGGTCCTCAGAAACGATCCCTGCCCCACATGCCTGACGCAGCTGCCGGTGCAGAACCCCGTCACTCACACATCTCTTGAGCTCTGCTCAAGGATCCTGCTCTTTCCTCTTCCCCACGTGGCCGTAGACCATGTCTGCTGGGCTTCGTCATGGAGGATGTAGAGGCTGCTTCATTTTCTGCTTTTGTTTTCCTGAGACATGGAATATGGGACTTTTTGAAGTGATTGCTAAATATATGGCCTGCAGGTCTACATGAACCCAACGTGGAATGAGTAGATTTCAGAGAATAGTTAAGCTACTTGTAGACACATATCTATTGCTACAGAACAAACCACTCAGAACTGAGTGACTTAAAGCAGACAGCTCATATTATTCCTCATGATGCCGTGGGCTGTCCAGCCCGTGTGGCTGGTTGTCTATTTCACGTGGCATTGGGCACAGCCATGGGCTGGGGCTCCACTGGGCTGGCGTGCCGAAGGGTGTGCTTCCACAGCAGGGCAGGACCAGGCTGAGCTGGTGGGGATCTCATCCTGGTGCCAAGCTCAGACCCACCCTTTCTGGGCCTTTTCCACAAGGCTCGGTGTCCCCCAGCTTGGTGGCCAGAAGTGCTCTGACAGGAAGGAAGTAGAGGCTGCTGAAACTTCTAGAGACTGAGTGTGGGAGTCCCGCAACAGCCCTTCACCATGTTCTGTTGGTCAGAGTAGGCAGGGCCCAGCTTGGACATGAGGAAGGGGAAATCGGCACCCATATCTAGGGCAAGAAGGGATGGAGGGAGGCCACAGGGCGCTCTGGGGACACGAGTGATCACAGCTAAGGAAGGAAAGTGATGAAACTGCAAGGGTCAAAGTAAAGCCTTAGGGAACAGAGAGACCAGAGGAGGCGTGCATCGTGAAGGGGAATCACACTCTGCCGTGTGCCCACTGAGAGGGGCAATGTGGGAGGAGGAGCAAGCACGAGGAGAGAGCTTCCAAACAAGTCAGATCTTGTTATCCCTGCCTCCCTTGCTGGCTGGCTTCCCCTTGCCATCTGGACTCACTGCACAGCCCCCAGGTATGTGCTGAGCAGCCCATCCCTGCCCTTAGCCTCGTCCACTCTCCAGCTCTACTGCTTGTCCTTCAGCTCACTGATGCACTGATGCTTCCAGGTAGAGTATTTATGTGAGCTTGTTGCAGGGTGAAGAATGCCCGCCCCTCAACTCTCAGTCTCCCAGGGAAACCTCCCTGACACCCTCACCTGTGCCAAGTCTAGAACACATTTCTCTGTCACATACAAAAGGATTCCTGTCCACGATGGCACTTAGGGTCTGCTACCTCTTAGCACATAGCGGGGCACTTGATACACGTTTGTGCAAAGACAAGATGGGCAGAGGAAGGGAGGGCAGGAAGTAGGAGGAGGAGTGAAGAGGACAGATCGGTGTGATACAGTGCTGCTAAGAACAGCCAGAGAAGAAAGAAAGGAAAGAAATCATGTAGGCAACTTAGAAAGCATCCAACTGAGACTGAGTCCAAAAATTAATGCAGGAAATAGCAAAAATAGGCTTAACTGTAATATCCTGACCCTCTGATATTGTTTCATTGGGGATTTTGAAAAATACTGAGTTTAATGTTTTCTGTCGCTTCCAGGCACAGAAAATGATGTGTTCTGCTCAGTAGACTCATCTGTGATTTCGTTATTGTCTGAGTGGAGTAGAGGGGCTTTTCCTAAAGTAGGGGGTTAAATGCATCGTTCTGTATAAACCCCAGTTTTGAAAGGAGTGTTGATGTAGCTCAGATGAAGCCTCCCAAACGTGTCTGTCCTAATTCTCGCTCTATTCTAATTTGGCATTGGAGTCCCCACGTGAGTCACTATTGCTTTTTGGGATATAATGCATTTTCCGTGCTTTGAGGCGGCTGGGTCACTGTAAAACAGCTATCTCTGCATCATTTCTGGAATGGGCTACTATATTTCCTTGATAGATGGGGAACAAGTTGTGCCACTGCCAGCCAGCTGGCCAGGTTGCTGTGAGGAGAGGATGGGCAGGAATAAAAGCATCTCTGTCTGGTGCTGAGTCCAGTCATTTCTTTGTTGCTTTATTCTGCTTTACTTTAAGCCTGCAGCACAAGGAGTTTTCTGAACACCATCTTGCCCAAAGTGGGTAGCAATTATGGATGGCTTGCCATGATTTTCCCTTTTGGATGGAATTAAAGGCCTTGGTGGGATCAGCAGCTGGCTTGCAGAAGGGCAGTCTGAATCCCGGCAGCTCTGTGGATGCCCCTACACGGTGTGGAGACAGGCAACTGCCTCAGCCTCTCTGGGCTTCTCTGTTTCTGAGCTGCTCGATCAGAAAATTCTATTGCAATAGTAGAAATCTTTTTTGATGAAGATATTTAAGGATGTTTTTGTTGGCTCTGAAAGTTTAGGACAGCATGGGGTGTCAGCCATCCTTTTTCACTGACTGTGCAAAGCTGCATTTGTCATCTGCAGGCTTGTGTCTTTCTTTCACTCACTTCCCTGACCCTACGGGTGATAGCAGAGCCTGGGGAGGACACGCTCAAGAGCAGTGTGGCCCAGCCTGTAAGGGCTTGTAATCATGCTCATCACTGAGTTGCCAGGTGTCTTAGGTTCCCCCAGGAGTCAACCCAGGACAAGGATTCCTGAGCAAGTAGCTTATTTGGGAAGG